AGGCCATGATGATCCACTTGGTAAAATAAATCCACTTGGCATCTTTCTTGGCCTTAAGACAACAATTCTGATGGCTAAAGATCCAAACGGGACACAAAAAAAAAAAAGAATCTAAACGCAGATGAACAGGATGGGACCGTTTCCTTTAACGCGGCCCCACCTCCACTGAATAGACGGCGCCCGCACCGTCGTCATACCACCTTTCCACTTACTCCACTGGCTTTTGAAGAACTAGTTGACTCTGGGCTAGCCACACAAGGAGCCGCAGTGAGTAAAACAGAATCTGTTGGTGGTGAAAAAGTTTCTGCTGGAAAACAAAAAGTAGAGACAGTTTCATCTGAACCCAAAGACCGCGCCCAGTTGGTGAATGGTAAAACAAGGCCCACAATGGGGAATAAGCTTAAAAATTCTGATTGGCCAAAAGATGAACATGAACTGACAACTAATTCTGGGTCATTAATTAGTGTAGAGAGTATTGAAAACCGTTTTCCTTGCTCACCATCTGAGGATGAAGCCTTAATTTTAGAGGCTGTTAACCCTGAGTCATTGGACTATGAAAGTGTAAATCTAAAAACAGTTTTTGTGGCTGCTGATCAGCTAGAGAGTCCATTGCTAGAGAGCCCGGTGTTAGAGTTTTTTTCAGCCCAGCATGTAACTCAGTCTAGTGCCCCACTACCTGTAGCTCAGTCCTTAGTCCAGTCAGCCACTCATTTACACCCTCAGCCAGAGGCCGATACACCTGCTTGTCCCACATCAGTCCCCGCTGGAAGGTCAGAGGGGCTGATTCAGTTGTCATCTGTTCCACCATCCACATCCGCTACTCTGACACTACATCCACCGCCTGCAGCTGCCGTATCACCTTCATCACCTTCAGCTCAATCATCTGTAGCTGCAGCGCTGTCGTAGGGGCCCACTCCGCCAGCGGTGGAGCCTGCGCTCCCGGTGTTGTGCCAAAAAGTGATCATCTGCCAGAAAGTGATTGCCATCCATAGGAACGCGCGCAGCTGCTTAAACCTGCAGTGCCCGGATTACTTGCATTGCCAGCTACTTACGTCCGTGCAACTGATATAACGTGAAAAAAAACAAATAACCAAACACATTTATGCATTTGTTATTAGGCAAAGGTATGCATTTATGGAACTTTAACGTTTCTTGTAACCAAATTATGATGCTTTTCAAAAGTTTGCTTTCAGTGTGTAGCGCAGTCACGAATGACTACAGCAATTACGATGGAATAATTAATGCCTACAGGTTTAGTATGCCTACTCTCGATGTTCATATTTGTTATAAGACTGTCGAATAGTAGTTAAAACAATAAAGACCTATTGTGCCAGTATCACCATGACTCTTTCTTGTTTGTTCAGAATAACGACTGAGAACATGGCATTTTAGTGCTACCAAAAAGTGATTGTGGCCTATAACTTGTCACTGAAACAATATTTCTGCTTCAAACTTGTTAGATATCATCCAGATGTGACACATTTCGCTGCAAATTTAAATCAAGCCTTTATTGGACAGTGCATAAAATGTCAAATTTCAAAAATGTTGTAATTCAAACATAATAGAAAAAAAAGGATAATGGCAAAATGGAAACGGGTGGGAGGAGATCTGCTTAAACAAATTAGGAACACTAAGTAATAGGAAAGAGAAAACAAAAGGTAAAAACATGTCATTCCAACACAGCACTTATTAATTGAAACGAAAACCAAAAACGAATAACAATTACATCCAATTAAAGAAGAAACCACCAATTAAACTAAACTAACAAGTAGACCAGAAACAGGGGGTATAGCGGAAGCTGAACACCAGTAAACCATGGAACAACATAAATATATATTAATTCTTTGCCTACAGTAACTATAATGCTAAGATGTTAGGAAACAGAAAATAATTGAATAATCCTACAAACTAATTGCAATCAAAGCTGAATTCTAATGTTGTGAACAATACAGAAACACACACAGCAACACGAACAAATGAATGCGCTACACACTGAAAGCAAACTTTTGACAAGCGTCATAATTCGGTTACAAGAAACGTTAAAGTTCCATAAATGCATACCTTTGCCTAATAACAAAGGCACAAATGTGTTTGGGTTGGTTTTTTTTCACGTTATATCAGTTGATCACTTTTTGGCATAACACCTGCAGAGGAGCTCAGCAAGCGGGAGGAGCCCGTGCTGCCTGCGGAAGACCTCAGCGTGCCGGAGCGACCGGCTCCGCCAAAGCTGGAGGTCGGTGTGCCGGAGGAACCTCCACGTCCAGCGCGCCCTCCATGTTGTCCAGCGCGCCCTCCACGCCCACGTTCTGCATGGCCAGCACATCAGGGATTATGTGCCATTCTACACTGTGGCTCACCGGAGACGCAACGCCGTTGCCACCACCGGACCCATGGCAGGCCGCCAGAGCTGCCACGCCGCGGCCACCGGACCCGTGCCTGCCGCCAGATCCGTGTTACTGTGGTCACTAGACCCGAGGTAGGCCGCCTGAACATTTTTTCGGGGACTGTTGTGACGCCGCTGCTGGAGGCGCAGCTGGGGTTTTGCAATGTTTTGGACTGGGACTCTGCTTGCCGGACGATTTTTGTTTCGGATCTTCTTTTACTGCTGGTTCAGTGAATTTTGGTCGGCGCAACGAAACCTGCAGCTTCAGAATCTGTGAGATGTCGGCTTTTAGCCCCGATGGCGTCTCCGTGTCCGTGCAGTCGGGTAAACAATCTGCACTTTGTGTTAACATCTTTGTTAACATCTTTGTTAACACAAAGTTTTCCAGCTCTCATTTTCTGTTTTAGCTGTTTGGTGGTTTTTGAAATAGTTTTGTGAGCTTTAACCTGAGATTCTGATGTTTCTGAGATAACCGAGCACTCGTGAGTGATTCCTGGAGGTTGATGGCAGTCCCTACGAAAATTATTGTTAAAGTCCCAGTCACATCCATCTGTTACTCCCTGACAACCCCTGTTGCTATGAAAACATGTGTTTTCCCCAATCAGCTGGGAAAAACCTCCTTCAGAAGTTCAGCTTTGGACACTAGCATATTGCTACCACTATGGTTGATCAGAAAGTTCTAGATCAACAATCAAGTACAAGCAGTAGGTTACTTAGAGGCGTGGTATGACAAGTTTCATGAATATATTTTTGTTTTTGGCAGGCCTTTTACCTCCTTACCATCGGAGTGAGAACAAACAGAACCCTATAAATTTAGAAGACTCTGCTTAACCCTTTAAGACCTAGCATAGAACCAAGTTCGCCAGAGCTTATATTATATACTGTTAGAAATAAATCTTTTAGAACAACCTTCTAAAACCTGTGTTTACATGTGCAAACCATCAGATTGGACTTACCAGTTCCTGCAGTTGCCATTATGTGACCTTCACCCCTAAAAACATTTTTAAAAAAGAATTATTAATAACATAATTAGCAAGTTTTAAAACAACAAAATGGAACTTTTACTTATGTCAGTGTTCTGTGATCTAGACAACCTATGAAGCTATGTCCTCCGACTTTTCACTATTTTCACAGAATTTAAAACACATACAGACACACACACACACACATACAGTATACACGCACACATGCGTATAGTACACAAATATAGTACTATATGTGCACACAGATGGATGTAGTTAGTCAAGTTCAGTGTCAGCTGACAAGCCAAAAGAAAAAACAGTGTTTCACAGACTGCTCATTAAAATGTTCTGCAGCTACATTGGTTGAAACTTTTCACATAAGAGTGCTGCAAAAAGCTGTAAGGTAAAGGTAAAGGTAAAGCTGTAAGCAAAGTGACTGTAGCAGCTGACCTGTGCAATGTGTAGAAGCACACTAAACATTATTTACTGTCAAATTATCAGCCATCCCTGTGTTAATAAATTGTCCTGTTCTTTGGAAAATGTTGCCTGCTGACCCAAGATCAGTTCCATCTGTGTTGACATTCAAAACCAGACTTTGAACCTGCAGTTCAAAAAAGCCCCCCTCCAACAGTCAAACCCATCTGTTCTCTGATTGGATAGTTAAATTTGTGATTGACATGACATTAACCAATCAGATGAAAGGAAGAAAAATAGGGGCAAAATTCGTGCTTGTAAGTTGAAAGTTGAGTGCAGAGTTTCACACGTATTTTTTAGCTAAGTCCACACACAAATCTTTTTACACATACAAATCTTTTTTACACACACACACACAAATTCTTTTTACACATTGTGGGGATTAGAGAAATATTTTGCTGCTATTGTTAATAATCATCATCATTACCATTGCATTACTCATACAGTTTACAGTATTGATATTGAATTCAGATGTTTAAACATATTAGTACCCAATTAGCCTTTATTACAGGTGCAGTTATAACCACTCTAAACTATTGAGTTGAATCTATAATTTTAAATGCTTCTGAATGCTTGTTATAATCTTAAATGTGTAACTCTGAGTACACTCTGTGCCAAAGTAGACAGGAAGTGCAGGATTTTGCAGAGCGTGTTTGTGAAAGTGAAAGTTACTTTGAGGAGCTGTTGGGAGGACGCTATTTGAATAACCAGGTTATTCATTGTTATCTTTTAGTCATTTATATCCTTTTGATTAAGCTTTTAGTAGAGGATCTTGATTAGGACATTTATTCAATATATTACACATATAGTTTCAGTTGTGTATGTGCTGGCCTTCTGTCTAGTGGAAAAGGTTACGAAGTTCAGCCAGTGAGGTGAGAGGTTAATCATGTTTGCTTGCAACTGCAAAATTGTCTCTGCAAAAAGAGGAACAGTTTCTTGCAGGGTGTGGGTCTAGTGTTCCAGACGAGAAGTGAAAGTCAGAAGGCTGACAGGAAGCGTCTGCCGTGGAGACGGAGACAGTGTTCTTTTAAACTGTGTTAAAAGTCATTGTGTTTTTGAAACCTATGTATGACCTGTATCTGATTGACGTTGAAGGGGCGTATTAAATTGAAGCCCTGATGGTATATAAAGCATCTGCTTATGCTTTGGTAGTTGGGGATCGGCGCTGTCTGCGTACGGCGGTGGTCCCCCCACGCGTGTCATTAAAAATCATCGTTTGACTCCACCTGGCCGGATCAATGTTGTTATTTTGAAAGTTGATTACCTCCTCTACCCCTCCTCAATATTGAACCTAACATTTGGGAGGCTCGTCCGGTTATTGAGGAGGGAGAGTGGGTTGGAGGCTTGGACAGAGAAATCCGGGGTCCGAGGTGGTCAGACGGGCAGGCACAAATATCAGTGGTCAAAGTGAGTGGGCATAAGCCGGCTTATCCAAAGGTAAGGCACTACTACCAGTTGAATTATTTCCAAAATGTGCCAAATTGGACATGAAAAAATTAAAGTCTACTCACTGAAATTACTGGTGGGTGTCTGTTTTGATTTTGGTAAAAATCTCATGAGAGTTGAAAGTTGAAGTTTAAAAGGGTTAAAGTCCCTTAAAGAAAGGAAAAAAGGAAAACAGTGAAAGGGTTAAAGTCCCTAGTCCCAAGTAGGAAAGTTAGGGAATTGGTTATTTTGTGGGTTAAAGTCCCCATTGGTCATCAGGTCAGACCTGTGTTGGTCATTTTGTGGGTTAAAGTCCCCATTGGTCCTCAGGTTAGATCTGCGTCAGTCATACACTTGTTTTGGGATGTTGACTGTTGTTCCAAAGTATTATAAATTATTCGAGAAAGGCGGTGGACGCCTAGGCCTTGTCCTCTTTGAGGGATAGTCAGTTGGTCACTGTGGAGCTTGGGGCACTCCAGAATAACTAGTGGTTGGACCACTTTACTGTTTGGAACGGTAGTCTGCGCTTTTTTGGCCAGCAGAAGTTGGACTTCGGGCGTGTAACTTTAACTTAAAACTTCGGGGTAAGCCTTGGCTGTGAAATGCCAAAAATAGAGCTTCAGGCAAAGTTTGGGTTGGTTGTCGCTTTTAAATTGACTTGGGGATTTTAGAAATTAGACCAGAAATAGTTAGAGTCTGATACTGGTTAATTGAGCACAAAAAAGTTGGACTTTATCGGTTGGACCGTTAACTTAAATTTGTCGAAATTGTTTAGGCGCTAAAGCTGTGAGGCCTGACAGTGGTTGTAAATATAAGACATCTTTGTAATACAGAATAAGAGATCTCTGTGTGAAAGGAGGCTGAGTCTGTGCTGGAGCTATTTTTAGACTGTGTGTGTG